CAGCTCGCCCGCCACGCCTTGCAGGCGGCTCCCCCTCCCGCGGTGTACCTGTGTTATAGCGCTGCCAGGGCGCGCCAGTCCCGTACGGGTACGTTCGTGCCCAGTCGTGTTGTTGTCTGCTCACGCAAAATGACATCAAAATGTTAATACACATCAAAGAATAACGTGTAGTCCACAGTGCTCACACAACGAGAATGATGCACCATAAGGAGAGAGAAGGCCATCACGCCGATCGCGCGCCCCGGGGGGCCATGTCCATGTTCGAGACATGAGGGATCGAATCCGAAGGCTTGGGCGGCGGGACGCGAACAAAAGGCGGCTATGGTTGAGGGCAAGTCAGCGCCCCCCCGGCTGGCACCGACGGCAGCATCGGGATGTGTCGGTGTCGGTAAGTTCCATGCAAGCCCACCTGCGGTGGCGGCGGGCCGGCCCGTTGACAACCCCAACGAGCAAAACGGGAGATGGAGGCGAGAAGTCAGCATCCCCACCTGGAAGTCTGCTCTCGAGGAGCTGCTTGCGGCTTCCGTACTAGACAAGTGAGTGAGGCCGCCTTAGCGCCCACAGTTCCGAGATCCAGTGCCGCCGCAGCACCACCCGGAGCTGAGAGGGCAGAATCCAAACTCCCACTCTCCAAGGATGTTCTTGCACTCGCACCTGCCCGTGCAGTCGGAGTTGAGGGAGCAGCGGTGGTGGTCCGGGTGGTTGCCGCCAATCGGGTCGCGGAAGGGTCCACATTTCTTCAGAGCGCCGTACCAGTGCGACTCACCCGACTGACAAAAGCGGCAGGGTGGCTCGGCGCCATCGCAAAGGACGCCATCGTGAAGGCTGAGCGTCTCACACTTCGCTTGCCCAACTCCGCAGTTGTTGGCAGGCCCGGAGAGCGCGCCGGAATGGTAGTTTTTGCAAAGCTCGCAGGAGTAAGGGTCGCTAAACAAGGAGAAGGTTGCAGCATTCGCCATCCGGAATGCCGCTCTCAGGCTTCTCCGTGCACGGACTGGTCGCCCTCTGGCCGAGCATTGAATCCGGGGCGTCGCAGCATTTCATCTCAATGTCATTCATTGCGGTATCGTCGCCACCTTGTCCCTCGATGCGGATGCGGAAGCCGCAGATTCCTTTTCCCGCAGGGCAGGAGACGTGGTTCGACCATCCTCCCCAGCCTGCGTTGGTGGAGGGTTCCGATGGGGCAGATCCGCAGTACATCTGCACCGCGTTGGCGCCGGTGTCATCGCCCCCGCCCTGGTTGGGCTCGTTCTTGATGGCGAAGCCGTCAAAGGCGACGGGCCCGCCGCCGCCACAGGCGCAGCACGCGTCGTTCGCGGTGAGGCCCTTGTTGGCATAGCCGTTGCCATAGGTGGCGCAGTTGGAGCCTTCTCCGTACCACGCGCAGTCGTATGTGTCGCCGTCGCTATCGTGCCACAGCTCGCCGTTGGGCATCTTGTCGGTGCATGCACTGCACGAGGACCAAGCGCTCCAGCCGCCCCAATGGCCGCCGTGCGACGTGATCTCCGTGCCATCACTGCATCGCATCCTGACTGCGTTGAGGCCCGTGTCGTCGCCACTGCCCTGGTTGCCCTCGACCCGCTGTTGCATCGCGACGGCAAACTCGCCATCGGGGCACGAGGCCCACGCCTGCCAGTCTCCCCAGGAGTGAGCACCCGCGTGCCCCGTCGCGACCAAGGTGTCTCCGGCCTGAACCCCGCTGCACGCAGTGAGCGCAGAGTCGGTGGTCTCGCAAAGCCAGTCGAGGTTGGGCGCGATTGCCGCAGCATACACTTCTCCAGTGCATTCGGGCTCGATCTTCTGCCCACTCATCGTAACGCCGAATTGCTCGTAGTCGCCGCAGTCGTTGCGTCGGAACCAGGGGCCGCCCGAGTCGCCAAAGCAAGTAGCAACGCCGTCGGAGGCTTGGTAGGAGGAGGTGATCACGTTGGCCGAACGGCGGGTGATGGTAATCTCGCCGTCGTGCAGCTTGTGTGAGGTGCCTCCATTGTTGCCCCAGCCGGCGACCCAAGCGTCGTCAGCCCCCGCGACCGGGGTCGAGGAGGAGAGCGGAATCGGCTTCGCCGCATACATCGGCTTGTCGAGCTTGAGTAGCATCATGTCGAAGTTCCCGTCCGACTTGTATTTAGGGTGGATGTAGGTGTCCGAGGCCTCGATGGTACGCGCCGCGTTGCCGTCGGCTTGGTTGATCGCTGTCGCCAGATTGTCGGCACAGATCCCAAGGTTTGTGTCCCGACCGCAGTCGCGGGAGCGGTAGAAGTACCAGGTCGAGCGGTCGAACGCGGAATTGGACTCCCTGAGGGTGGTGACGGGGCGACATGAGACAGAATGGAAGGGCGATCGGGACAAAGCAGGTAACGAGTGGGGGAAGTGTGCAGGAAGTGCGTTCCTGATGGCATTGTCGTTCGAGTCCCTCTTCATCAGGCAGTGCGCGCTCGTGAGGATCCACTCGCGGTCGATGAGGGTGCCAGAGCAGGTCGACGCGTCAAACACATCGTCTTTCCACATGAGCCGAACTAACCACGGGTAGTCGTCGGTCCACTTGTCCTGCGACACGGCGTCCCCACCGTTCACGAGTGCGCGGCCACGTTGGACCGGGTCTTTGATGTTGTCGTGTGCGATCTTGGTTGAGTTCTTGGAGAGGATCTTGCGGCTCTCGCCGACGTCGAACGTGCCGTCGGCGCTGGCGATGGTGCTGGCAGTCTGGACGGGCGCCCCGATCGTGGCCGCGACGGCGAAGGCGACCAGCGAGAGGCGGAGCATGCTGTGGTTGGAGGCCGGCGGGAGTGGGGCGAGTTAGGTGGCGGTTGGCGAGGTGGGGCGAGTTAGGTGTAGAGGCGCGCAGGAGCGGAACGCCGGGCAGGGGCGGCGGCACACATGACTGGAACCTTGTCTTGGCTGTTCGTTCGTGATGTCGGAGTCACGCGAAAAACGTCAAAACACAAACCCCAAATCGCCCAAACCAAGGAAGGTATTTTGACAAGGTAAGTTTTATGTGTTTGCTTCATGGATGGTGCTGGATGGCGTCCGCCAACATGGACAAAGGAGGAAGAGGGCAGGTTTCAGAAAGAAAGAAAGAAAGAAAACGGACAACGAAAGAGATCAGTCAGGCAGGGAGGGATGGGAGGACGGCACGCCGTCACCACACAGGGAATTTGAGGAGATGAGTGTGGTGCTAGCCTGCTGACCTCCTTTCACCTCCTGCTCTCCGGCACGATCCGCCTCGGCTCGTCTCGTCTCGTCTGTCCTCGAGGATGCTGCCTCCTCCGCCAGATGGAGGTGAGGCTGCCGGCAGGGAAGTGGACGGAGACGAGCGAGGAGCAGCGGGCGAAGGCGCGGGCAGGCGACCGAGACCCTGACCATACCATACCCCGGAAAAAGTTGGAACGCTGGCGCGAATGTTGGTGGCCACCACCCTGGCCTGTGATTGGTCGCATCGCACTCTCACCCGACGGGGACTCCCCTCGCGTGACGTGCCTGTACGCAGGCTCGTAGCCCGTCTCTCGCCGTGTTATTGCGCCGCGCGCTCAGCGGCGTGTCCTCCCGCTTCCACAGGCTTCTACCACGCCGAGTTTGTCGGGCACGCGCGGCACGCGGCGGTGCGGACGTGTCGTGGACGCGTCGTGGACGTGTCGTGGGCGCGCGCCGTAGGCACGGAGGGCACGCGGCGATGCCGCATACAACCGTGGACCCGTTCATGTGCGTGGATACTCGAGAAGATGAGTAGGGTGTGTCCAGTGTCGCCCGACGGGTGTAGTCTGGCTGGCGCTCGAGAGGACGCGCAGTCGCGCAGCCGCCGATGCTAGACTCCCCTCCCTCGCTTGCACGCGATGCTCGGACCACACGGCACCGCATGCTCGCACCGCCGTTGCGTCTGCACTGTTGGCGCGTCCGTGCTGTGCAGGTGCGTGGCGGCAGCGCTGCAGGGTCTTCAGACAGTCATCTCGCGCAATCTCGCGCCGGTGGAGGCCGGTGTGGTGTCGACGACGTTCGTGCATGGCGGGTCGGCCTATAACATCATCCCAGGCGCGCTTGGGTGTAGCCGAGATGTCGCCGAGATATCGCGAGGTCTAGGCGAGGTGCAGCCAAGGTGCAGCCGAGGTGCAACCAAGGTGCAGCCGAGGTGCAGCCGAGGTGCAGCCGAGGTGCAGCCGAGGTCGCCGAGGCGTCGCCGAGGTGTAGCCAAGGTGCAGCCGAGGTGCAACCAAGGTGCAACCGAGGTGCAGCCGAGGTGCAGCCGAGGTGCAGCCGAGGTGCAGCCGAGGTGCAGCCGAGGTGCAGCCGAGGTGCAGCCGAGGTGCAGCCGAGATGTCGCCGAGGTGTCGCCGAGGTAGCCGCGACACCGCCCGCCTGGCAACAGGCCGCGTCGAGCTCGGCGGCACCATCCGCTCGCTCTCCAAGGAAGGGTGTGCTTCAGACTTGCCCACGGCAGGGCAGGGAGGCGGCGTTGTGAGCGGCGTCTCTTCACAGCTCAGAGCCGTGGACAGGTACAATCCTGCTTGTGGGAGGGCAGGGAGGCGGCGCTGTGAGCACCGTCTCTTCACAGCTCAGAGCCGTGAACAGGTACCGTTTCCTGCACGAGAAGGTCGAGGCGGTGCTGCGGGGCGCGGCGGCGCTCGGCGGCTGCAGTGTCAACGCCACGCTCTCCTCCATCGAGGAGATCGCGCCGAGATCTCGCCGAGATTGGCCGAGAGCTCACGCTCTCTCCCACCGAGGCTGCGGCGCCAGCCGTTTTTTTTTTTTTATAGAGAGCAGGGTACTGTCGCCCGCCGCGGCAGCTGAGACGCTTCCACGAACCTTCCACGAACCTTCCTGTAGGAGGACTGCCTCACCGCCGCGGTGACGCCGCCTGGCGCGCCGGGCCCCTGCACCTTCCCGCCGACCGTCAACGCCGAGGCGGGCGGACAGCCGGGGCAGCGGGCTTACCAGAGCGCTGACGCCTCACTGAGGATTCGGTACCACAGGCGTGCGGGACTCCACCGCGGCGGGCTGCCAGTGCCTCTACCGCACTCACGCAGGCCGCGTTGAGAGCAGGCGGGGCACACGACCGTGCGGCGGGCGGCGGAGGCGCTGGTGGGGGCCGAGTCGTTCGTCGAGGTGGAGCCGACGATGGGGGGGGAGGACTTTGCGTGCCTCCGCGCTAGATGCCACAGAGAGCAGCTCCGCCGCCGCTGCTCTGTTGGCCTGGCGACTCGGAAGAAGAAAGAGACGGTTTCACCCCTGTCTTCACACTGTCCCTACCTCTGCCACCACACCGCTTTTGCGCAGGTACCTCCTCGCCCACCGGCCCGGCGCGATGGCCTTTCTTGGCATCGGCAACCGCTCGCTCGGCACCGCGACGTCGGTAAGGGGATGCACAAGTCGTTGCCTCTCTTCGACGGCTCCGCCTGTGAGCAGGTACCGACGTGAACCTGCACAACGGCCGCTTCCAGATGGACGAGGGGCAGCTGCACCTCGGCGCGAGAGGTAGCCGAGATCCGGCCCAGATTCCGGCCCAGATTTGGAGATTCGGCCCGGTTGGGCTTGGGGCTTGCGAGGGAGCGGAGGGTCGTCACTTTACAGTTGGTACGTTTGGGCACAGGCGCGGCGCTGCACGTCGAGCTCGCGACGCGTGCCCTCGCCGAGCTGGCCGCCGGTGACGCCGCTGGCTGCGCCGAGGGCGAGGCGGGGCCGACTTGCGCCGAGGGGACATACCTCGAGGCGGAGGATTGAAATTTGCATGAGAGGTCTTGGGGTCGGAGAGCGAAAAGCGGAGGGTAGAGAGACGTTGCACAGTGTCCTACACCGCTACAGTCTAGAGCAGTGTTTACGGTTCAATACCGTCTCAGCGGTACACATTGCCATCCGCCAGCCCCAGTCCGCACACTCCGCCCCATCAGTGCACAGTGACACGGTACGGCGTTACACAAGACCCCGTCAAGTGTACTGCTACGCTCCATCGCGCCGGGGCGGCTCTCGTGGCTTACACGACGCCGCCTCCAACGCCGACCGCCGAGGGGCGCCGGCGGCCCCGCCATCCAAAGGCGCGTCGGACGAGGGCGCTCGCCCCTCCGTCCAGCGGCGTCGCGCCGAGCTCCTTGGCCAGAAGCATGAGCGACACCTGCAGAGGATTGCCGGCAGCTGTTACCTGGAGATTGTGGGAGGCGGGGACTGCGCCAAGGGGGGACGCGCCTCGCGATGTGCTCCTGGGAAGAAGGACATGGCGAGCGCCTTGTACAGGCCGGCGTGCCCGTCGAGGCCGGCGATGAGCTCCTGCGGCGTGGTCTGAAAAAAGTAGTCAAACGGACAGCCGCCGAGCGCCGGGTCATTCTCGTGCACCAGCACGATCGGCAGCCTGTCTGCGCGGGCCTGCTTGACCTGCTCGGCCAGCCGCTCGTCGCTGACGAAGGTGTGCTCGTTGAGGTAGAGCAGCATGTGCGTCGCGTCGCCGGCACGGCGCGGCGCCGAGCGGCGAAGGACGCTGGAGCGGCGGCGAGAAGCCCGGGAGTCGGACGAGCAGGGCTCCTCCGCCGTCGAGACGGTGAGGCTGCTTCTGCCGAACTTGGCCGTGAGCTCGTCGGCCAGCTCCGCCGCGCCCGCGTTGGCCGGCGAGGCCCAGAGCACCACCGGCTTGGGGAAGGCGAGCGCCTCGCGCTGCACCTCGCCAGGCACGTAGAGCCGCATCTGCTCCTTGCTCAGTGCCTCGTAGTTAGGCGAGCAGAGAAGCAGCGCCTATGTGGCAACCGCGATGGCTCGACACGAGGGGGGGGGGGGGGGGGCCCATGGGAAGGGGGGGGGTGGGGGTAAAGGGGGGGCGGTGCCTCGGCGATGGTCTTGAGCGACACGCGCTGAAAGGCCTCGATGCGGTGCCACGTCGTCATCGGCCAGCCTTTGTCGAAGATGGCCGCTCGCAGGTCCTCCGGGCATTCCGCGCGCAGCACCTGCAACCCAGCACACACAGGGAGACGCTTGCAGATCACGCGGGTTACAGGAGAGGGGTGGGCGGGGGCTTGGCGGCTACTCGGCGGCGCCTCGAGCGTCCCTCCCTTCTTCGGGTCCGCCTCTTGCACGAGGACGAGCGGCTTCTGCCGGTCGAGCGACGCGCGCACCTCCCGCTCGCAGTTCTTGCTCCCGAAGTAGCCAAGCGAGAGGAAGAAGAGGACCACCTGCGAGCGGCTGATGTACTCCTCGAGCGCCCCGATGCTCTTGAGATCGTCCACCTATTGGAAGGGAGAGCAGGAAGGGGTGTCAGAGGTTGGGCTGTACGTGATAACACTCTGCTGTCGGCGCACGTCGAGGAAGATCTTGATGTCCGGAATGAGCAGCTGCAGCTGCTTCTTGATGACAGCGGCGGCGTCTTGCCCAGTTGACCTATTGGATGCCCGGGGGGGGGGGGGGGTTTCTGGGGGGTTCTAAAGTCGTCTTCTCCCTCCATGCTGCACACACCATATGTGGCTGTTGAAGAGGTGCCATGTGTGGCCTCGCGCCAGCGTCAGCTCCGGTTGCTGCCTGTCCGAGACGAGCCGAATCGTGGGGACCATGGCGACGCGGCGGACGGCGACGATGGCGCCGATGAGGAAGATCAAGAGCGCGAAGGCCACGAGGATGATCATCCAATTTACGACATTTTCGACCCCGTCCAGCTTGCCGAAGCCGAGGACTGCAGCAGCGTCATCGAGCCCGGAGCGCTCCTGGATGCCGAGGAAGATGGTCGTCCAGTTCGTGGCGAGGAAGAAGAGGAGCAGCACAAAGCTCGTGGCGACAGCAAGGCAATCGTCCTCCACCCGCTTGTAGGGCCGAACGACGGCGAGGACAACGGAGTAGAAGCAGCAGATGACCGTCGCCACCATGAGGCGGCGAAAGGCGTGTTTCTCCGGGATCAGCAGCACGAAGCCCGTCAGCATGAGCTTGCGCGCCAGCTCGAGCGCCTCCCACCAGAAGTAGGTCAGCTCGTACTCCTGGTGGAGGAAGGCGGTCGCCCGTGTCAGAGCATTCGGCGTCTTGGCCTGCAGCGGCTTGTGGCAGGCAAGAAGGAGGGCCGAGTAGAGGACCAGCGAGCCGGCGGGCCAGACGACGACGAAGCCGATGGCGAGGCCGGTGATGGACTCGTGATCCGCGGTGTAGCACTCGACGCTCGCGTCCTGCCGCATGTAGGAAACCTGCCGCAGGGGCTCGTCGGGCGGAGAGATGGTGTAGGCATGGCACGACCAGGAGCGGAAGATGGAGACGCTGACAGAAGGCACGAACAAAAAGATGAGCACCAAACCGGCGGGCGTGAGATCGAGGAGGCCGAGGACTGCCTCCGCAAGCCAAGATCTCGCCGATGCAGAGACCCGCGATTCGTCTATGTGCATAGCCGACGCCGATGCTTCGCCCTCGCCGATGTCCGTGCCGCCGCTCGCAGCACGCCTGCGCCAGAGCCGCAATCCGACGCCCGCCAGCAGCAGCAGCGCGATGAGGCCGATGGGAGAAGTAGCGAAGACGACGAGTCGATTGGCGTACGGCATGCACTGGGCCGGAAGGATTAAGCCGGACCAGTCGATGGAGATGACGTTGGAGAGTGCGTAGGTCCAGTCCGTGTACTTCTCCGGCAGCCGCGCCGAGTAGGTGGTGGGGAGCACAATGCAGACCTGATAGAAGCTGAGGAGGATCTTGAGCTTTGGCGTGAGGCCGACCGCGACGTAATAAGCAACAGCGCGGTCCGCGAAGCAAAGGATAGAGCCGATGTAGGGCTCCTTCCGCCACGGCATGCTGTAAGCCCATGCTGCGAGGCCGCAGGCGACGAGGAGAGTGAAGACGATAGAGGCGATGCTTGCCGCCGCCGTGCCGCGCGCTACGCACTTCTTGCACTCGTCGCCGTCGGCGAGGTAGTAATTGTTATGGACGCAGAGCTGGCACTCGGGGCCTTTGAAGTCCGAAGCGCAGTACTCCGAGCCCGCCTCCGCCACCGGCTTGCATCGCGTCTTCCCGGCCTCGGCATTGCCGCCAAAGGTGCCGCACTCTGTCAGCACGGCGGAGGAGGGGCTGGCGCGCCAGAAGCCGCGCGGGAGGACGAGGGTCTCGAGGGTGGTATTGACCGGGCAGCTAGCGTTCGGCGGGCAGGGCTCGCAGTGCTCGGTCGGGGATTTGAAGATGTCGTCGGCGGTCGTATTTGCCGTGGTGAGCAGGTAGAAGTCCTCCATACAAAACGAGCAGGTGCTGCTGCCGTTGGCCGAGCTGAGGGGATGAGGGCATGGGATGCACAAGCCCTGGCCGGCGTTGGCGGCGTAGTAACCGGCAGCGCACTCGTCGCACGAATCACTGCCGGCGCTGGAAGAGGTGCCGGGCTCACAGCTGGCGCACTCGGCGAGGCCAGCCTCTGCGGCGAAAGTACCCGGTCGGCACGCCGCGCACGCGTCGCCACTTTGGGCTCCCTCGGCTGCGCTCGATGTGCCGGTGGGGCAGAGCTCACACGCCGCGCTCGAGTTGGAGCCGTTGCGCGGGTTGAAGCTGCCTGGCGGACAGGCCTCCCACACCATTCGGGTGGCGGCGCCTGCCTGGCTGCAGAAGCCTCCACGCGGGCAGGGGTCGCAAGTGGCGAGGCGAACGTCTGGCGAGAAGCTGCCGGCGGGGCAAACGCGGCATTCCGATTGGCCTGGAAGTGGCTGATACTGGCCGGGAATACAGGGGATGCAGCTCTCCATGCTCGTTGCGCCGAGAGCGGGCATGCGAGTGCCGACCGGGCAGGGCTCGGGGTCGGCGGTCCCCTTCTCGCAATAGTGGCCCATGGTGCACTGGCCGCTGCAGGAGGGCTCGGTGAGGCCGCTCGTATTCCCGTAGTCGCCAGCGGAGCAAGGGTAGCACTCGGGGGCGCTGAGATCGCCGATGAAATAGCCGGTTGCCTGCATCCAGCTGCCAAGGCGGCAATCCCAATCTATCGTCGAGGTCAGAGTCTGTATCGTGACACCGTTGTTGCCGATGAAAAAGGCGTTGCTGATCGACGAGCGTTGCTCGAGGTCTTCCAGGTACAGCACCGAGGCTGCCGCCAGCGCCGTGTTGTTGGTGAAGGCGACATGAGCGACCAGGAGGGATTCGCTTTGCTCCGCGTAGACGACGCCGCCCTGTGATGGCGAGGAAAGGGCAGCTATGGCCCCGATGCTACCTCTCGCCCCGCTGCTGGCGACTTCCGCGCCGCTGCAGCTGTGCGAGGCAACCCGTGACCATCTTTTCATCTCATGGGCGGGCGGCTAGCTCTACGAGGCGCACAATGCCAGCCGAGCAGTTTGTCACGGTGGAGTCGATTATCGAGATCGCACCGCTGTACCTTGCGGCGACGACGCCGCCGCCGAGCTGCGGTTGCGAGGAGAGAACGGGGTGAGGCAGCCGTCGCCCTCTCTACCTCTCGCGCTAGCTCTACGCGGCGCACCTCGCCAGCCGAGCAGCCCGTCACGGTCGAGCCGATAAGCGAGACCGCACCACTGCACTGATACGCGTAGACGACGCCCCCGAGGCCCAGAGCCGAGCAGCTCGTCACGGTCGACTTGATTATCGAGACCACACCGCTGTGCGACGCGAAGACGACGCCGCCGAGCTGCGGTTGCGAGGAGAGAGCGGGGTGAGGCAGCCGTGCCCCTCTTCATCTCTCGCCCCGTTGCCGTGTGGCACTGGAGGGGTGCAGCTAGCTCTACGCGGCGCACCCCGTAAAGGCCAGTAGCCCTGCAGCCCGTCATGGTGGAACCGCTTATTGAGACCGCACCGCTGTCCCTCGCGTAGACGACGCCGCCGGCCTGCGGTTGCGAGGAGAGAGCGGGTTGCGGCAGCCGTGGCCTTCTCGTCTCGCCCCGCTGCCGTGTGGCGCTGCAGGCCCGCGGGCGGCTAGCTCTAAGCGCACAGATCCAGCCGAGCAGTCAGTCACGGTCGAGCCGGCTAGCGAGACCGCACCGCTGCTGTACCACGCAGCGACGCCGCCGTGCTGTGCACGGCCCTAATCATCTCTCGCCCCGCTGCCTGCGGCGCTGCAGGAAGGCCGGCTAGCTCTACGAGGCGCACCCCGCCAGCCGAGCAATTCGTCAGAGTCGAGCCGATGATCTCGACGTTGCCTGCGCCGTCCGCTTCCACGACGCCGCCCCTCTCCGCCCTCCCGTTGACGAGGAGTAGCCCCTGCAGGGTGAGGCTGCAACCGCCCGAGAGGTAAAAGAGCCCGGTCTGTTCCTGGCCGTCGAGCGTCGCTCCCTCGCCGCTGCTGGCGACGGCCACCGCGATGTTGGAGGTGCAGGTGATCTGGTAATTCAGCTTGAGGTGTGTACCCGGCGCCAGGTAGACGGACATGTCGGCAGTAGCCTCCTCGATAAGGGAGCGGAGCTGCTCGGCCTCGGTCGCCGCGGAGGCATTTGGGGGGAGCGGGGGCAGCGGGGCCAGCGGCAGTGGCGGTGGGGATTGCGGCGGCGCGATCGCTAGTGTGCCGCGCGCGTCCTGGAGGAAGAAGAGGAGCACCACAACTCGGAAAGCACTTGCGCTGGCGAGCAAGTGAGCTGCGCGGGTGCGGCCATGCATGCTCTTCTTCTCCTGCCGCCCACGCAGCAGCAACCCGCGTGACGCCGCGAGGCTCAGCGCTGCCAGCATGAACGCGCAAGGAAAGAGGAATGTCACGGAGGCGCGGCGGTCGGGCTCAGTGTTGGTCGCCCGACGCGTTGCCTGGTTCTCGAGGCGCGGTGAGTCGGCCGGCGGCTCGCGGCCGGCGGATTTTTCCGCCGCCGGCTCTCCGTGCTGGCCGACCGAGGGAAAGTAATAGTCGCAGGAAGTAATCGGGCCGAGTAGGATGGAGGTTTCCCAGACGAGGAGGTCCTCGCGGAGATCGGCGGGCTTCTTGAGCCCGCGCGGTGCGGGCGCCAGCACGTCGGTGGCAAATATGCCGGTGAGGTTGCGCGTGACGATTGCTTCTCCACGCCCCGCGGGCACGTGAGCGGCGTGGTGCGAGGGCGTCGTAATGGCGAGAGCGAGCATTGCACTCGAAAGTCGGCGGATTTTACGGTGAACGAGAAAAAGAAACGCACCCAGGCGAAAGAGTGGAGAGCGCAGTGCAGGAGACAAGACTCGAGTGTCCGTGTGTGAGAGCGCTGTAAGTTTGCCCATGTCGTCAGCGGCCGCCCCAAAGCCGTTGGGGCGCAGTACGGGCGCCCCCTGTGGGACCGCGCAGCACAGGCCGTAGCCCAGCGCTCTGCTTCAGCCCCTCTGCGCTGCACGGAGCGCCATGGCGCGCCTCTTGTTTGCCACATTCTCCAGACG